GATCCAAGTGCAACTGACTGTCACTAGTCATAATCAGATATATAGAGATTAGAAACACATGTGTAAACATCTTAATGTCAATTGCGTTGAAAATGAATTTTTCTGTATGAAACTGTATTTTAATAATGAAATGGAGAGCTTTTTTAAAGGTTAAAACCTCATTTAATATTATGTCTTATAGGGTTTATACTGAGTACGATATTGTAAAACTGTAACAATTCAACTGCAAACCTAAAAATTTACAGCCAATTTTGAAAGAGATACACCTTAGCTCAGAAAATTGTTATTGAATATGTCAATGCTGTTGTAATGAAATGCTTCTTCTCAGTATGTGGTTATTAAATAAATAATTAACTGGGAAAAATATTATAAACAACTGTAATATGAATACTCACAAGCAATATAGTTTCGTGTAGTCCATAGTTACTACTGCTATTACTTTTTTTGTAAAAACTTATCAATATTATACTTTAGGCTGATTTGAAATTATTCTCATTGAACCCAATTTATTCTGCACATTTTCATCTTGCTTTTGTCCTGGGACATCCACAAGATTCTCTCTGATTAGCTATGGTTTAAATATGAATAAATTAGATATTTATGAAATAATTTACAATCCAAGATGAAGATATTAAAGGTTATAAGAATATCACCTATAAATGTTTATGACTCATATGCTTTTAAAAGACAAGCATTCATAAATCAGTTCCTCTAAATGAATCTTATTCTCTAACATGTGTCTTTGGAAAATGGTGTCAGTTTTCCTTTAAATTATTAAGCAAGTGATAAAATCATTGCCCTTTCATTTGGGGAAATACTTAAATCAAAACTTACATGTGATATTCCAAATTAGTTCTTTCCTCACCCTACTTAATAAAAATCATTATATGCATACTCAAGTGTCCTGAAAACTATAGAGTGAACACGAAATTCTGTTTTCTGTTCATGCTAAACTCTTTACCAACTTAAATTCACAATATTTTTGAAAAATAAAATTTATAATTGTCTTCCTTTTCTTGACAAAAAAAAAAAAGTTCTGCTCATTCGGGAACAGCTCCTGCTCTGTCTGCAGTTATCTGCAGTTCCCTTGACAGCCAGGTCAGAGGAACATGCCACTCCAGGAGGGATTAGTGCGGTGGGACTCCTGACTAGCCAAATACTAACCAGCATAACTATCCTTTTACATGGAATCCCTCTGTAAACTATTGTTTGAAGAATGGAATCCAATTGTCTGATTTAAAAGAATCACAAAGTAATTTTACATATAATTGTAAAATTCTATAAGAATAAAATGTGATTTTTTAAAAATTACATATGATTTTCTTGTATAACTATGACCTTAAATAATAAATTGTCTAGTCAGTAAAAGAAAACAAACAAACAAAAAAACCAAAAAAACCCTCAAGTATTTAATTAAAGAGGAAAATCTTCATTATCCAAGTTTCATGGGTTTCTTGTTGCTTTAAGGGTTAAATGCTGATTCTTTGATGTGGTGTTCTAGATTTGCTACATGCTGACTTCTTGTTCTCCACTTCTTTCTTACCCTACCCTGCTTGCACTCTCAGCGTTCGCTATGCCGACTGGGTGATCCTTGTACCCCTGATATGTCATAGCATTCTTGCTTCTTGCCTGTAGTAATGACATTCCTCTTCTTTACCACTCGTGTGAACTCTTTTATTTTTTAAAAAAATATTTTAGTTTTATTTTATGTGTATGAATGTATTGCCTGCATGTGTGTAAGTGCACCTGTGTCATGCAATACCCACAGAGTTAGAACTGGAACTGGAGTTATGGATGGTTGTTAGCTACCATGTGGGTGCTGGGACTCAAACTCTGGTCCTCTGCAAGAGCAGCTGGTGCTCTTAACTGCTGAGCCTCTCTCCACTCCTTGTGGACCCTTTTCTTCAGGGCCTAACTTAGTCTCACTTTCTCTAGAAGCCTTCCTACTAAGGTAAACAATTGTTCATCATCTTGTTTGTGCAGCCCCTAGTGACTTTCTAGTAATTTGGTACTTAAGTCTCTGCTCTTTTTTTTTTTTTTTTTTTTTTTTCCTTTTGGTCTTTCTGAGACAGGATCTCCCTGTAGCCCCAGCTGTCCTGGAACTCACTATGTAGACCATCCTGGCCTTGAACTCACAAGGATCCACCTGCCTCTGCCCTCAGAGTGCTGGAATTAAAGGCATGCACTACCAGACTCATGTTTATTATATTTGTGTGTATATTTAGTTGTATATGGTGTATGTACATGTTCATGTGAGTGAGATTAGCATTAGATATCTTCTGTTGCTGTCTACTTATTTTTTGAAACAGGGTCTCTCAGTGAGCCTGGAGCTCATTGATTTGGCTAGACTGACTAGCCAGTGAGCTCTGAGAATACACCTGTTTGCATCACCCCAGTACTGGAATTACAGATGCATACTGCTGCACCTGGCTTTTATATGGGTGCTAGGGATCCAGACTCAAGTCCTTGTGCTTGTACATTAGGTACTTCACTGGCTGTGCCATCTTCCCAATCCTGTGTTTTCTTTTGTCTTCCAGCAGTGAGAAGAAAGGAGGTCATGCGATTAATGATCTCTCTAAAAGTATGGCTGTTTATACCGACTGTTGTTCTTGTTCCTGGGAAGAAATGTTAACACTCTCAGTGTCTATTATCCCACTGATTTAATGTATAGTCTTGTTTATGTTTTTTCCTCAGTTGAAGTCTGGGGTCTGGTCAGTCAGCATGGCTTCTTGGTCCCACAACGGTGACAGTTATGCCAGATCCAAAGGACCAGTTTTCTCATAGAAATTCTCCAAAATCATAATCATAATGTATGTACATATCTTTTTTTTTTTGGCTTTTTTGAGATAGGGTCTCCCTGTAGCCCCAGCTGGCCTGGAACTCACTACATAGACCAGGCTGGCCTTGAACTCACATAGATCCACCTGCTTCTGCCTCCAGAATGCTGGGATTAAAGGCATGCGTGACCACTTACAGCCACAAATATCTTAAAGTCCAACATCTAAACCCCATCTGGCCCCAAGAACTTTAAATCAGAGATTGTCAGCTTTTATATGTGCTTTTTTGTTGTTGTTGTTGTTGTTTTTGAGACAGGGTCTCCCTGTAGCCCCAGCTGTCCTGGACCTCACTATGTAGACCAGGCTGGCGTTGAACTCATAGAGATCTGCCTGCCTCTGCTTCCGGAGTGCTGGTATTAAAGGTGTATGCCACCACACTCGGCCTTAGACATGCTTTTAACTGGGATAAAACTCATACTAGCTAAGTATGAGTCCTGTGATGTGGACATGCCCTGCTTATCTCAGCCTTAATTCAGGCCAGTGTGAACCTCAGTCCCTCACTGCATTCAGAAAACTGATGGCTGAGCTGTCACAGGAGCTGCTGTCAGTCTGAGCATTGTCTGCAATTGCTTTTCATGCTCAGTAGGCGCTACTTACCTTCAAGAAGACCTTCGGCCGCTTGAAACTAGAAAGAGAGGTATAGAATGAGAAACTAAGATGTGTATGGTACTCAAGGAACCAAGGGAAACAAGGAAGCCCTTCAAAATGTGTTTCTGAGAAGCTGGAAGAGGTACTGAGCTGTGTGTTTTGTTCCTCCTCAGTGCCTTCCTCAGAGGTCACCTACGGCATGGTTGCAGCAGACTTGCTCCACTCCTTGTTGGCGGTCACTGCGGAACCTTGTGTGTTGAAGATTCAGAGCCTTTTCAAGTTGGATGAAAACAGCTTCCCTTTGCAACAGGATTTCTCCCTGCTAGATTTTTGCCCTGACTCATGTAGGATGTGGAGCCCAGGCTCTTCTCTGAGGCCAGAGGAGGACACTTAGGCATTCCAAGGAAGGTGTGCTGAAATGATCTATATTTTGAAATTAAATGAAATGACAGGAGTTTTGTTTAGAGTTTAAAAAAATACATTTTATTAACACAACAGGATTGTGTTAAATAAATAAATTAAGTTTTTTTCTAAGAAAATTCTGTGAACTTTTTATTGTTTGTTTTGTATTTGTTGGTCTCTTGCTTCTGGAGAAATGAAGCAGGCTGTCACAGTCCCCTAGGACTTAAGGGTTCCTTGTTTGTTTTTGCATTTAGACCCTGCTGCATCAAGGCACTAAACATTGGGGATCCATGTGTAAGAAATTTCTTCAAAAATCACTTTTCTGTTCTACTCATAAACTCTACGTGTTTTTCTTATTTCTTCCTTAGTAAATTACCAGTGTGAATTAATTTTCTTGATTACAACTCTACATGATGGGCTAGGGATGTAGCACCATTGCAGAGTAGCAAGTATATTAGTTACATTTTTGTTGTTGTAACAAAATACCTGACAAAAGCAACCTAAGGAAGGAAAGGTTTACTTGAGCCTCATAGGTTGAAGGTGCAGTTCGTCATTGGAAGAGTGGTCCAGTGATTCTCCCAGATCCATCTTTGGGGTCCTGACATGAAGTTTAGGTTTAAAAAAGCAAGAGGTATGCATAACTAAGCAGTCCTGGTCAAGGTGTGATCCCACCCATCACTGACAGACATCACTGTCTTAGTTCCTGGCCTCTGGTCTATCCTGCAGGTTGTCAGCACTGTGTGAAATCTTTCTCAGAAACAAGCTCCCATCAACTGATACCAGGTTACAAACCTTTTCCTTTCCCAGCATGAGACTTCTGGGGAAATTCCAATTCCTTGGTGTTCATTGTCTCAGTACTCTGATAGCCAAAAGGAGGGGTACAAGTGTCTCTTCTTAGACTATCCTGGCTCCTGCCAGGACAATTGCATTGGTAGGACTAATGTGAAAATGGTTGCATGCCTGAAAGCAAGCTACTGACTCAGTGCAGTCCCTGACAGAATTCCAATGAGCTTCTTCAAAGCAACAGAAAAAACAATCCTAAGCAGGAAGAGCAATGCTGAAGGTATCACAATATCTGATTTCAAATTATACTACAGAGCCACAGTGACAAAAACAGCATGGTACTGACATGAAAACAGACATGTGGGCCAGTGGAATAGAACAGAGGATGCAGAAATAAACCACAGCCGCCTGATTGACAAAGGGGCCAAAAGCATACACTGGCGAAAAAAAGATAGTCTCTCCAACTAATGGTCTTGGGAACCTGACATCCACATGAAGAGAATGAAACTAGACCCATATATATATAAAATTTATTTTTTGTCTTTTTGAGACAGGGTCTCCCTGTTGCCCCGGCTAGCCTGAAATTCATTATATAGACCAGGCTGACCTCAAACTCACAGAGATCTGCCTGCCTCTGTCTCTGGAGTGCTGGAATTAAAGGTATGTGCCACTATGCCCAGGTTATATAATTTTTTAAAAAATTGAATATTTGTGTGTTTCATATAGAACATCTCTATCATGTTCTGTGTGATTGAGACCCCTCATTATTTTAAACTTGTACAGAAATTGATTTAAAGTGGATCACAGGTCTTAATTGAAGGCCTGAAACTTTGAAACTGCTACCAGAAAACCTAGGACAAACGTTTCAAGATACAGGCACAGGCAAGGACTTGTGAGACTGGTGCCTTCAGAGTTGTATGGTTGTAAACAGCCTGGACTTTCTGAAAAGAATTCCAGCAGCTCTAGAAATAAGATCAATTCTAAAATGCAGTGATGTAATGGGGCAAAGGGGAATAATGAGATAGGAAGGGTTAAATGGAATGGAGAATGGGAGGGCAGGGCAGAGTGAGTGTGGGAAGGGATAACTGACACCAGAGGCCTTTAGAAAAAGTCATAGGCAAACCTACCACTATAGAAGCTTCTTTATTTAATTTTTAAATTTATTTTTAGGGACTGGAGAGATGGATCGGTGGTTAAGAGCACTGGCAGCTCTTGCAGAAGACCTGGGTTCGGTTTTCAGGACCCACATGGCAGCTAACAACCATCTGATGCCCTCTTCTGACCTCTGTGGGCATTGCATGACATGAGTGCATTTACATACATGCAGGCAATACACATATACACATAAAATAAATAAGTGTACCCAATGCATACCATGCCCATAGAGGCCAAAAGAGGGCATTGGATCCCTTTGAACGTGCATTACAAACAGTTGTTAGTCGCCATGTGGCTGCTAGGAACCGAACCCAGGTTCTCTGCAAGAGCAGCGAATGCTCTTAACCACTAAGCTATCTTGCCAGCTCCTATAGAAGTATATACATAAATATACACATTATGTACTTTTTCTGTGTTATGTATATACATATATAAAAAGAGATTAAAAGGGGATACCCTGTAATGGGGATATTGCCTCTACTAGACACCATAGACTACCAAAGAAAAGGCCCAATTCCAGGGATGGACTCCCTCTTTTGAAGCTGCTAACCAGGGATCCCACAGTCCCTCAAACAATACTTACCATTGCCACTGCTTTTGGTTACTCACCTGTACTTAATGATAAGATTCTATGCTCAGACATTACATACATGATGGTAGAACCAACAAGAAGAAATCAAGCTAGTACTGACCTCAAAGCTTCATCCTACTATCATAGTGCTGGAAAGTGCTGTTTGTGCTACAGGAAGAGAAAATAATCATCAACCTTGCCTAACTGAATCCTATGAGCTACAACTGGTCTGGCAAGATATGCCCACTGCTGCAATAGTGGCATGATGTTAAGACAGTAGCTAACCACTTTACAAGATGATTCCATACCTGACGTTGATATCAGGCCTAGGAACCTGTGACTAGACAGATCACAGGACATAGGGGAGTGCCTACTACTATTATTCTGCTAAATAAGCATAGTATTAAACTGACTCCTAATGATTTACTGTTATACCCATAGATAAACATATCTCTGAACTCTCACTAGAGAAGCTTCCTCATGCAGCAGTTGGTGATTAACACAGAGACCCACAACTGGCTAATAAGCAGAGAAGAGGCTGCAGAGTGCTTATCTCTGAATAGGACACCTATATCATGCTTCTGCCTCCCAAGGCTCAGGGATCATTGTGGAAAAGAGGGAAAAAGATTGTAAGAGCCAGAGGTGGTAGATGACCACAAGGAAACAGTTTTCCAGACATCTTGGCAGTTATTCATATGAACTTAGTAATGGTGACAGCATGCACAAGTCCTATGTAAAACCAAGTCAGACAAGATCCGAGCATAGGACTGGGAAAGTGGGTAAGAAAGCCCAACCCTAGCTGACAAACTATTGGCAACTGATAGCTGCTGGGATGGAGAGAGTCAGTCTTTATGGGTGGGTTAACCAGGCTCCAGTGGATGGACCCACACTGAAGAGCATTTGGGAACACAAATTTGACTTGATAGGCCTTAAATAGATATGTGTAATAGAGCACACCTTTAATTCCAGCACTTGGGAGGCAGGTGGATCTCTGTGAGTTCAAGGCCAGCCTGGTCTCCATAGCAAGCTCTAGGCTAGCTGGGGCTACAGGGAGACCCTGTCTCAAAAAGACTGAAAAAAAAAAACACATGAAATTGGGTGGGGGGTATTAAAGGAGGGGTGCAGATAAGGGAGGGGGGTCTAAATATAATAAAAATATATTGTATGACATTTGCAAAAATTCAGTAAAATAAAAAGCTGACCAAATTGCATAAAATTTAAAAATTTTTTCAAAGCAAAGGAGACAACAGAGTAAAGAGACAGTATACAGGATGGAAGGAAATTTGTCAGCTACATTTTTGACATGGGATCAGTATCTAGAATAAAGAACTAAGAAAAGATCCCAAAAGCAATAAATGATGAACAAATAGCTCTCAAAAGAAGTGCAAATGGCCAATAAATACATGAAAAAATATTCAACAACTCTAGCCCTCGGGGAAATACAATTAAAAACTATATTTGGATTCTATATCACCCCAATCAAAATGGCTATCATCTAGAAGAAAAAGGGACTGGAGTGATGGCTCAGCAGTTAAGAGTGCTGGCTGCTCTTGCAAAGAACCTGGGCTTGGTACCCAGCACCCACATGGTGACTAGCATCACTTTAGTTAGAGTAGCTAGTGATCAAAAAGGCAAAACAACCAAATGCTGGCAAGTATGTGGACAAAGAGAAATATACACTGATAATGAGATTATAAATTAGCACAGCTGTTATGGGAACAGTAAAGACATTCAGTTTTTAAAAAAAAAAAATCCCCCAAAGCCGGGCGTGGTGGCACACACCTTTAATCCCAGCACTTGGGAGGCAGAGGCAGGCGGATCTCTGTGAGTTCAAGGCCAGCCTGGTCTACATAGTGAGTTCCAGGACAGCTGGGACTACAGGGAGACCCTGTCTCAAAAAGACCAAAAAAAAAAAAGAAAACTACAATATTTTCCAAAACTGATTAAACTTTGTGTTTCCCAATCAGGATAAATAAGAAAACCACATCTAGGCAAACCATGCTTACATTTTTGAAAATCAAAGCTAAAAACAGTACATTGCTTTCAAAGGCAAGACAATGGCACTGTCAATCACTTGTCACTAGAAATGGTGGAAGTGAACAGAGACTAGAATGCCATTTTTAAGCTGCTGAAAGGAAATATCAACCCACAGTTCATTCTCTACAAAAATATCCTTTAAACATGATTTGAAGTTGGGTGAGACACATGCCTACGTCAGCATTTTGGGAGGCTGAGTCACAAGGATCATGAGTTTGAGGCCAGCCTGGGTTACATATTGAGATCCTATGTCAAAGAGCCACAACCTAGTCCTTTATTGATGAACACTGACAGCTTTTCTCCTGAGATTGACACAAGGTTACCCACTATCACCATTTGTAGTGAGGAGTCTGCTGCCAGTGAAGTTTGTATGTGGATCTTCTGTACTTAAATCTTGCTGAAATTATTCGCTCTAATTGTTTGTGTGTGTGTTGTGGAAAATCTTGTGTCTGATTTTGCCTTTTGCCTTACATACCTATCATGCTGGAATGCAGTGCTTCCTGTTTCTTATCAGAGAGAAAACTATGTAAGTCACATGGTTTCCAGGAATCTG